GCTGCCGCCGCTGCTGCAGTGTGAGAGGTTAGGGTTGAGCACGATCGGGGGAAGGATTTGAGTTCGGTGGAAAGAATCACCTCCAGCCAGGTTAGGCTGGGAGGTGCTGAGTAGCTGGTTTTCGGACATCGGCAGCACTCGTGCTGCCGGCTGCTTATTATTCAGACGCCAGCGAAATGACACGACTTGAAAGGCGGAGCTGTCTTCATTTGTCGGGTGCATAGAAAGGGCCGGCAGCGTGCCAGAAGCGGATTCTGTGGGGACGAGGCGACCGCTACCTGAAGTGATCGGCAGGGTGTGGGCATGCGCTAGGCGCGGCTGGTTACTGCATTCCGTTAGTAGCGTGATGTTACCCTTCTGGGTCATAGTGCGTCTACTGGAGCGTTGCTGCTGCCTAGAGCTCTTGACTTCAATGTTCGGGATGTTCAAACGACCTGATAGAGAAGATTTTCGGTTCAAGGAATCTTTACCATCCGTCTGCTGCCTGGGAACGTCACTCAGATTGAGGTGACCAGATAAAACTTCGGTCCTGAGACGCAAAAGAAGGTGCATTTCGTGTGATTTAACATTAAGGTCACACAGTGCACGTTTATTTGATTTGCAGTAAATTATATTATGTAAGCTGCAAGCGACAAGAAATTCAAACGGATCGATATGTCCAAAAGCTAATCAGAAAATCGTCCAGATATTCCGTCCTCCCAGTCGAGCACAAGTAACAAAGCAAAGATATCTTTTAATGTTTGATGTAATCCATCTGCACCACTTTGTATTGGACCCTTAACTTGTGCTGCCCACGGGGCTATCGAAGAGGTTCTAGCAGGTTCAAATCGAACGCCTGACGGGCGAGAAATGGTTGGTTGGTGTACCGAAAACAGAACTGAACCTCTCCGCTTGAGGGACAATGGCTGTAGGCAGCAGAGACCTCTGCTTCTAACGCTCCGCTCAACGCGACCAGCTTGATGAATGAATTCGAGAGGAAGTCGTCGTCAATTAGGCTTGACAAGGTTCTTGTCAGCCTTGCGAAACCTATTACGACCTGCGCTGGAAGTAACGAAGTTCGCAAAATCGAATAAGTTGCTTATTCAGCGTGTAAAAGGACTCATTTCTGTCAAGTAACTTACTTTTTACTTTGATTGGCCTTGACTAGTAACTCTCCCCGGCCTTAATCAACAAGGGAAACGAAATTATATCACCCTATGACCTTGTCCCTCAGAGTGTTGACAACATATGAGGGACATTTTTCGAATGTTATTTTTCATCCTGGTTATCAACTGGTTCCTCAGATGTTTGAAGCGATAATGTCTCATGTTCAGACCAATTTTCAAACGCCGGAGGTGAAAAAAATAAACCACAGCTAATTAGTTTCCCTAGATGCCCTTGTCACTTGCTACTTCACAAAACACATCTTAATAATACATGGATTCTTCACACCAAATCGTAAAACAACTGGTTCTTAGCCACTTAACGCCCTGTTTTTCAAATTTAGCATAAAATATGTCAAAGAAGTGCAAGAAAAAGTTTCGAATTAACACACGAAAACTGACTCTGATGTCCGCTGTTGCAAGGTCTTGGAAGATATGTTTAAGGCACTGCCGAGGGTACTGAAGTCAGGAATGGGTGAATACAGTTTTGTTCGATTGAGCGCTAGAGCCTCTGCCTTCTCGTCTTCAGCTCTCCACTGGCTCATTTCATCGTTGGACGAATCCGACAAGCGAGCGCGGGACCAAGGAGTTGTGTTTTCCTGTTTGCCACTCATCTGATGCGCATCTGCGATACTCCGTAAATACGTCTGGAAGTGGTCTTTTCAAAATATGTCATCAATGTATTCAATCGCAAAGCGTGAAATACAACAGAGGAGTCATTATAGTGTGATTTAACTATGTAAAGAAAGTGTTATTTCATTAATTAAAGGTTTACTTTACGAATGCGCCAGAGGTTTTAAAAAGCTAGCAATGGCACTACCCACTTTTTGTGTCTGTGGTATTCTCTTTCTCTCTCTTTGATTTCAGTTTTCGTACTAAATATAACATTGCTATTTATGCAGCCGTCTTTGCGGGCTACTGCGAAAGTTTTGTTCTTTTCCAGGTTTATGAAGTGCTGAATAATTATGACATGCTTTCAGCACCTAGGGTAATAAGCGCTAGCTACGACTTGTGCGGTTGACCTTTGATTTGTTTTTATCAGAATTGTTGCAATTATCGCCCTTACGGCTGATTTACCTACAGCGGACCATACTTTAATCCAACGGAAACCGATGGCGAGGGGGTAGTGGCCTGGTAGCATAATGGCTACACGAAGACGGCTTGGTCAGATGGTTCTTCTGTGTATAGAGCAATCGGTTATTGTAGGATACGACACAAAATAAGTGCTCAAATTATCAAAATACAGGCAGAAGTAGTCCCTGTATCTAATTAACACGGGAAGCAACAGGAGTCAAGAAAATCCCCCCACTCTATACAACACCGCATACTTCAATATGTCTGTAAGGGATTGGAAACTACGGTGTTGTGAAAACTTTATTGGCTAACTTAATATTGAATTTCCATCAGTGTCACCTGTTTTATCCCAGATGTGAGTGAGTTCGTACGCTCGAATACAGGATACGTGTGCGTTGCAATGTTATTTATTAGAAACTGAAAAACCTAACTTCGCCAAGATTTGCTCATTAACTTGAGAATTTTGAAGAAACCGCTGAAATTTCATTAAGCGTTCAAGAGAAGGATTGTCCGCAGACGAGAGGCTCACACTAGGTCCAAGATTTGTAGAAGTACTTTCTTTAATGTTTGAGGTTATTGGTGTGAGGTGACCCATAGTAACCTCCCCGACGCTGATTTATTCAGTAAAACATTCTCCCATGAGAACCAACTTTGATGTTATGTTGAGGGCTATTTCCGGTGTGATAATCAAAAGCAAAACCTTGCGCCTGCGAGAAAACTTCAATTTTCAAACCTCTTATGTCCTTTGCCAGAACGACTAAGTTCAGCTACCCGGTGACATTCTCCTCCACATGAATGGAGTCGTAAACTAATTCATAACTGTGAATTGAAGTAGAAGTCAACTAAGGTTTTCTGCTGTATTGTCTTGAGCGTTAGCAGCGAGCTTTTTCGAGTCTTGTTTTTCAGTTAAGGCAGCAAAACAACTATGGACAGGTATTTAGTCAGAGTTACGTTATTCCACTAGCTCATTATTGATTAGGAACTTTTTTTAAACTTTAGAGGGCTGTTACACGGAAAAAGCCGTTTTCTGGAATGGAACTAACTACGCACTATGATGCGTATTATCTACTTGTTATGGAGACTTCTCGAATCTGAAGGTTTTTCTTTCCTGTCCTATCGAAGGATTGTAAAGAACACAAACTGCTTCCCTAAAGGTTTCTATCTTAATGCGTTCCTACAGCGGTTACTAAAATAATTTTTTTTCGATTCGCCAAGAGTAAAGTAAAGGCGTTGAAATCCACAGGGGCAACACAGTTCAGCAGTTTGCATCTTTTTCAGCCTACTTGCCTTTACCCTAAAGCTGCTTTATGGACGATATTGCTTATAAATCAAATGTACTTGCATTTAAGGGCTCACAAACAAAAAGCGTTTTGGTCTGTCGACGGTACAAGTGGAATCTGTAGAGCATTCTTAAAGATGCATTACACAACATGCAGACACATGTTTTGCCAAAATCTCGGTTTACCTGGCGGCGAGAATTTAGGCCTAACAGTAGTTCATTATAGGCAGATAGTATTGCCGACAAACATAAAGGAGACTGAGATGACCATTTCTGGCATATTAGCCGTCGTCAGCCAGTCATACCTAGACCCAAGTGGTGTCCCACCCGAGCCTTTTTGATCAGAGTGAAACACCCTAACGTAACTTGCTGGCTGGCTGACGACTGCTAATAAGCCAGAAGTGGCATTCCAGAGTCCCTTGTCTTGGGCGGAAATACTATCTGCCTACTGTCAGCTGTTACGGCTGGTGGGGTCTCTGTCGAGGCTCAAAGCAGAGTATGACGAATGATTGAGTGACGTTCAGGTGAACGTTCATCAACGAGTGTCAATATCTCCTGAGTTAAACCGGTGAGACAATGAGTTTGTGGCTCAATGGTTAGTGCATTTAGCTCTGATCAAAAAGATAACGAGTTTGAGGTTCGGGTGGGACTCCACTTGCGTCTAGATATGACTGGCTGATGACGGATAATGAGCCAGAAATGGCAATTCCAGTTGCCCTGGTCTTTGTCGGCAATCCCATCTGTCTACTATCAGTTGTCACGGTTTTGGAGTCTCTGTGGAGGCCCAAGACAGAGCGGGACAAAGGAGTTCCGTTAGCGGTCAGGTGAACGTTCATCAAGGAGTAATACATCACCTCAGCGACAATTAGTAAGCAGAATTGTAGGGCAAAATCTATGGGTCAACATACGACAGTCCCTCAGGAACTCACCTGCATTTCCAGAAGCTACTGCAAACACGGCGGCCGCAACGTCCGCGTAAAGGATGGCCAGGATTTCCTCTTTGAGTACGGCGCTGCTGTCCGACACCGTATTGATGTGAACCGCATATTGCGGCGGACAGTCAGAGGCAAGCTCGCTCAACTTCTGCACGCTTCGAGCCAGGCGCAATTTGCGTGTATTCTGCTCACTCTTCACCCTCGAGGTCTTTAAATACCTGGAGGGGGCAAACGCATATGTCAGATAGACCGAATTATTTTGAGAATGTGGACATTTTGAAATTAATAGAAACTGGGCTATGCTGTATGTATAGCAAATAGGACGTTGAAGGATTAATCGCAGCACTATTAACTTTATAAATTTGTTATTTGTAGAAATTATGGCTGTCTCCGATATTGCTATATTATATAAGGAACAGGAGGACGGGAAACTATACGAACTTAAGGTGGCAAATGGCAAGGGACCACTTTTGATCGCGGAGATTAGTTGATATGAGTTCACTTCAAAATAATCTACAAATGCACCTGGCAAGCTTGTTTACAAAAGTTTTGACGGAGCTTAATAAACGGAAATGCAGGGTACAGAGAAGCGAATATTTTTTAAAAGAGAGAATTATAGTTATCACCGCACCATTTTTTAGTCCAGTGAAGCTCTATGTGAAAGTTTAGAGCAAACGGGACCTTTTGCAGGCCATTCTAACATTCGCAATACTTCCGACAAATCCATCTTTCTTAACTCCTATTGTTTTTAGGTCCAAAGAGCAGAAAAAATTTCGGTACGCCCCACCTGTTTTCACTTATTTAAATTAACTATTATCTATTGAACGGATAAGATCTTTTCTGTTATAGACTTATTTTCATATTAAACTACCTAACCTGTTGCTTTATAGGTTTCTTCAACTGGCAAAGACCTACTGCTCAACAAACTAACGGAGCAGGATTACTTCTATTGGTTCCCAAGCCAGCGTAATGTACTGAAGGATATGGGGTTCTGGGTTTCATAGTCATTTCTGCGGTAAGGCTAAGGCCAGTAAAATGCCAATAAGTGGTATGCCATATACCAAAGGAAGCTATCCAGGAAATGAATTCAGATAATAACATCCGGTTAGTGTTGCTAGGTTACATCCACCAGTATGCTTCTGCATGCGTGAGTTCAGCGACGCAGGCAACACAAGGCAAATAGGTTGCAAGCTGCACCTCTCTAAGGTTGGACATTTAAGTGCTCGCTGAAAACTTTTTTAGCTGGAATAGTATCTTCCACAGTCCACCTATGTTTCAACATCGGCCACATATAGTGTCAATATCCACGAAGTAGTACTCAGTACTATGTTAGTGTATAAAAAGCTAGGTTCTCCGGAGTAAGTTAAAAAACGACGATATATAGCCATATAGCATGGATGAAATGGAAAACCTGTGAGCGAAGTTACAAGTTAAATATCAAAATAAATATATTCGGTCAAAATGAATGGTATTTGACAAAAATATACTTAAACCTCTACAGCATCATAACCCTGATCGCCAACGCAAACAAGAAACACAAGCTGGCGCTCGTATACAGCGCATATGGTCCACAGACTGGGTTCTAGCAGACGGATCATTAACAATTCATCGAACCAAAATTCATCCATTCATCGCCTTTAACACTGAATAGTGGATATTATTTTTTGAATAGGCCCCCTTCCTCTGCTATAATAAATTAGACGGCGCCTGATTGTAACTTTTTTTACTCAATACTATCTGCCTATACTACCAGCTGTTATGGCTGTCAGTGCCTCTGTCGATGCCGAAGGCAGAGCGGGACAGGTGAGTTTCGTTAGCGGTCAGGTGAGCGTTCCTCAACGAGCATAAAGTGGATTTTTGGCTTCAAGGCGTTGCCAAATTGATGTGCACCAATTTCTATATTGAATAAATACCCAATCTGCTGTGCAATATATACTGCAGGCTTAAGAATGGAGAGTAAAGTTGATTATACTCAAATGTGCTTCCGTTTAACAAAAAACATGTCCACCTCACCAGTACAACCCTCAGGAGTAGCGAGTGTCAGCGTCATCTGTGGTGAGGAAACTAAAGGACTTAATGCTAGCTGATGCTGAGTATACTCAAACATTTATGCCAGTCACCTTGGGTTCTAGTGACCGAGCGAATTGTGTATGTCTATATTTCAATGCTCTGATATCTCCTTGCTGAACACAGTGGACGGATAATGTGATTGGAAACTGTAAATTACCATGAGTTTAATGTATGCAAATTTCAGTTAAGCGACGAAACCAGCAGTTAATTTCTTCCGGTCCCACAGTTTTATAAATACCCTCTTAAAACGAAATTTATGTATTGAAATAAGGTATGTTGTCCTTTCGCTCCAAGAAAGCTACCTATGTTCATTTGTTCGAGTGAGTTAAGCAGAGGTCGTTAGAGTTGAGTTGTCTCCTTGTTCCAAGCATGTCGTCATTGCAAAACCTCAAATTTTAATCCTCTGCACAGGTAACTTCCCCAGCCATGCGTCCTCATTGAACTGAACAGCTGAGTACCTTCATTGACAGTATAGTGGAAATGTGAAATTTACCTCTGCAAGTTTCTGATCTCCATTTTTGCTACCAAACCATTGTGTGATTAGTAAAATAAAGGACACAGATCAGATATTCAAAGTAAGTATTTACGACATTATCTGCGGGCCAATGCGCATTTACCAAGTGCTTTAATGTATGTCTGTATATTAAAGGTAATCCGTATACAATCTGCAAATTGTATAACTATTCAGGTTAAGTGGACTACCAATAGTAGCTTTTCTGCGATGTTTATGATATTGAAAACGTCATAAACGTGTCCCTTGGCTACTGTACGGTTTCGCTCTTATTCATTTCCGTAAAAACGGTAATGCGATTCCAGTGGTCTTCACGGCAACATTTTCCCTCCCATGTTTCTGTACAATTGGGTATGGTCATCAAATGACCTCATGCTTATCCCAAAATTTTTGCCTCGTACACATCAGTTCCCTAGCCATCCTATAGCTTCCTAGGCGAATCGGAAATCACATAGGGGAGCAGATTTTGTTGAGACTCGATAACATTTACTCCTTCCGGCAAAAAAGAGAGAAAGGGCCAACTTAATACACAATTCGACAGTTCCGGTACAATGCGCAACGACCTTTGAAGAGCGTTGCAGGTACATTACGGTGCCCCAGGCACTATAAATACCCAACGACGGCAAGGACGCACGCCGAGACAATAAGGTAAGGCGACTCAACCAATCACGATTTCACTCCCTCCCCTCCTCCCCACACCCTATTTTCTCGTAGCTGGCTACAAAACACATCAATGCTTGCTGTATTATCATTGTTTCTGAAGACGGCCTCCTGTACGAGTCCTAAAGTACAGAATTATGCAAGTGTTGTCCTACTGATCGCGCCTTTTTCTTCTTTGCAATAAATATCCATACTTAGAGGTTTTCCGTCAGGTCGGAACCCAACGTTTATATAAGTTACTAATACAAGCGAACATGCGAGTCCCAGCAAGTAATTGAGAAGTAGAAGACGACTCAATCGCTTGGAAAATATTTTTATTCGCCTGACGTTTTGAAATCCGTCGTGGATTCATTTTCAGAGC